AAATATTGGACACGGTTATTGGAATATCACACCACAGATATTATTGTTGTCAATATGAATTAGCAGACGCTGGTAGACAAAGCTCGACCCATAATGTAAACCAATCGTTAACGGTCACATGCAAAAAACAAACAAACGTAATTAAAACACAATTATCACTTATTCATGATATATTATATACATTACTGATTATGAAAAAACAAATAAACAAAAATTATAAGAGTACAATCGCAAATCGAAAGTGCAATATTTTGTACTTGGGTTTACTTCCCTAGAAACGCAGCACCCGGGATACCGAACCAAGTCAGAGCGGGTGGGCGTGCACTTCAGTGTAACGAAGTCTTTCATTGGCTGGTTCATTTGCCGATACACTCTTCGTGCGTGTATAAAGATTTGGGTTTTGTAAATACATGCTCATTTTTTCTGTACAACATTTTGTAATCAACAGACATCATGACATGTCATGTGTACAAGTATCACACCTGCCTGTCTGTGTAATTACATAATGTGACAGAGACAGAACTCGGGTGCACGAGCCATAAATCAGTGTGTTTTGTTAAAAGTGTGTAGCCTGATGCACATGGGTGTTAAGTTCAAATTGCATGTGGTCAGTGATCGAAGTTGTGTATTGCATATTGTCATTAGCAGACAGGCAGGCAGACACATCGGTGTCAATAAAACAGACATTGAGTTTTGTCTGTGACAGAGGCATATCTGTCTCACAGTTAGAAATTCTGACAAAGCTAAATAATGACGTTGATGTTAAGTATCGAACTGAGAAGGTGTCTCGGTAAGAAGAACGTGTGGTGAAATAGTCAAATGAAATTATATAAACAGTTAAATCGGTAATCTCCTGTCATAACATATGAAAAGCTCGCGACTGTGAAATATCAACAAAACATTAGAAAAATAGCTCACATCAAAGCCCACTCCGAGTACTCACCGCCAGCGAAGGTTTTCCGTCTTGAAATGTCGAACGCCTCGCTGGTTGACACATAGCTGAGTAGATCTAGATCCTTAACAAGGTTCTTTCATGTAACGAGTAGATTATTTACTATTTGCTGTTTGTGTTTGTGTTGATTAGACTACTCCTGCTCACGACCTTATAATTCTCGCATCCCGCTTCCAAGCTGCGTTAACCTATTCACTGCGCATGCGCTATGAGCGCAGCGCAGCACAGCTGTTGAAACCACTTTTCACCCCAGCTGGGGTGAATTTCGTGAATCGTTTGAACTCCGATTTCGCGGGGTTTTTTTCATCACGTTACTTTTCAACTTTATAAGTTGAATTTGCATTTTTGATAATTTGTTACTGTTAGTCCATGTCGAAAGGTATCAGAATCTGTGTTTTACGTTGCATGTGACCTTTAAATAAATATGATTTCATGATCAGCTATGTGTGTCACAATCAAGATGTATGTTGTATAAATAGGCTTCTGTTTGATTTTAAAGATTAATGATAGAGGAAGGTAGAAAACTTCATATTGCTAAAGATCAACGATTTTGTCCTCTATGCATTGTTCCCTGTATTGAAACAGAGTATTATTTAATATGCCTTTTTTGGTCAGATTTGAGAAAATTGCCAGAGACCTGAATATTAAATTGAAAATCCAACATTTCCTAAATGGTATTAGCTATTATCACCCAGAAACCCAGATGTTATTAATTGTTTAACAAAGTATGTATTACTTGCCATGAAAAAAAGAAATAATCAGTTGTAATTGTAAAGAATATGCATGGCACTCTATATATGTGTTACATACATGTTGTGCTACTTGTCTAATGGGCCGGTAGCCCCCTTAGTGTAATAAACTCAATCTGTCTAATCCTTTGGTGTTCCAGCAGGAATACAACAAGTTACGTTCCAAGTATGACACCCATAGATCTATTTTCACAGACGGATCCAAGGATGAGGACCAAGTTGCCAGTGTTACAGTCATTGGATCCAAGACTGTCTCTTCTAGGATTGCCGACAACAGTTCCATTTTCACTACCGAGGCTAAAGCTATCTTTTCAGCTTTGACCTATATTAAACAGCGGAATCATTCCAAAAACTTCATCGATTTCACAGATTCATTATCTTGCCTTCAAGCACTTCAAAATGTCACTTCAAGTCACCCAATCATTCTGGACATTTTAGAACTTTACAACGACCTCTCTACTGGCCAATGTGACATCGACCTCTGCTGGTTGCCGGGTCACGTCGGCATAGCAGGTAACACAAAAGCCGATGCTGCAGCAAAAGCAGCTCTTGACAAGCCCTTATCTCCACTGCTGATCCCGTACAGTGATTTCAAACCCACTATCAAAAGCTATACTCGGGACCTCATGCAAAAAAGGTGGGACACTCAAGTAGGAAGAAATAAACTGTATGAATTGAAGCCAACAATTGGTTATACCAACTTGGGTTGTCAGTCAAGACGTGATGAGGTAATTTTACGACGATGTCGTATTGGCCACAGTCGGTTTACTCATGACTATCTGCTGAAAACGGATGGGGATGGACCCCCCATGTGTGTCTCTTGCGATGAGGTTTTCACCATCAAGCATATTCTGCTTGACTGTGTGGACTTATCGTCTGCAAGGGACTCACATGAAGGGACTTATGATGAAACAACAAATCTGAAAGATCTGTTCTCCCGCGTGAGCGCTCATCTGATAGTGAACTACCTGAAGGAAGTTGATCTGTATCATAAATTGTAACTGTGTAATGTGACTAACAAATTGCCTGCCTTTAAATTTAGTGCTATGACTTTTTCTGTTTTTAAATGACAATGTAATGAATATATGTTTTTGAAATAAAACTCATTTTGACTCTGTACTTACAATGTTTACTAATGCAGACTTGTTCTCGTCACTATATGGCTGGAATAATGCCGATGTGACGTAAAGCCCACTTCAACTCAACTCAACTCTCTCTCACTCTACTACCACTACTGAAAAATATTTAAACATAATATGAAGAAGACGATCCCACTTGATCTGGGTATATTGAATATAGCGGTCGACCTATGCATGAAATATCGTCATGTAATAAAAACATCATAGGTAATATGAATACACAATGCCATTTAGAAAGTGGTCAAATGTTAAATTTGGGATATCATTTTCTAAGATACAATCCTTTGAGAACGGGAATTGTCTTGACAAACGTACAACAGCTGATAAACAGTCGAACATAAACTCGAAACAGAGCGGTCAATCATCTGAGTCGCATTTTGCCTCAACATGAGTCTGATACACCTAAGATCGGTAAATTTATGAATATAACGAATGATAAGGGCAATAGGTGGATGACATAAAGTCGTCATTGTGTCGCCTATAGCCGGCAGCCATGCTGTAGTCGATGCCTTGCGTAACGTTGGTAGTTACAGGTATACGTTCCTTATGTAATTGTAGCCGTGAGATCGTCCGAGGAGCTGGACAGGGGTCATCGATATTCTCACACGACGACTCGGCCCGTCTATCACTGGGATCACACAACAAGTTTATCTTTAAGTATTTTCACCTGCCATAAACATCGGCACCAGATCGACAGTTTTGAGAGACTATAGTCTGTTTCAATCTGCATATTTTACCTGATCCTTGTGATATACGATGTATGTGCATGCGTGCGTGTAACACCGATAAATATATTGTGTTTATTTCAATTCTTCGATCAATAATACTCTGGTGATAATGTACTACTCACTATAAGGCCAACCTCCAACCGCAAGACAGCGGGCATGTGAAAAATACACAAATGTTGATAAAGAAAACGCAGATTTGTCACTGCTAATTTTAGCAATTTGCTAACATTTAGGCCATTTTGTAACATGTTTTTTATATTGTGTGGATGGAGTCTCTTTGCTCGGATACATGTAGATCAAGATGACCTTTTTCTGAGTTTTCAAGGGTAAATTTATTTTATCACATCGAGGCATACATTTCAGCAATGGCGGGGACAATTCATGTAAGATAAACGTTGTATTATTTCACGTTGGAATGAAAATTCAGGACGGGTGGAAGATGGGAAATACAGTCAGAATGATGAAATATGTTCAGTGTTACTACTGTTACTATGCACAAATGTCTTCTTCTTCTACGACATATATGTCTCATGTCAATAGTTAAGTTCGTTTGAGGAGTATATCTCCAAGACTGTCAGACCCAACCAACACACTTTATTTACTTCTCTCTTCGGGCGTTGGGGTAGCCTAGTGGTTAAAGCTTTCGCTCGTCATGCCAAGGCCCGGGTTCGATTCCCCACATGGGTACAATGTGTGAAACCCATTTCTGGTGTCTCTCGCCGTGATATTGCTGGAATATTGCGAAAAGTGACGTAAAACCCAACTCACACTCACTCACTTCTCTAACATCACTTCCTGTATTTTGAGTTTAGTTTCAGGTCATCGGAAGATACGGTGTCATTGCTTAAGGTATGCATCTCATCTGTATGTATAAATAGTACATCTAGTTACCAAACCATCTTCAAAATCGACCGGAAGATAAACACGGACATATTTTCAAAAAGCAAAACAGAAAATACCCAGGTACACTATCATCTCATATAATTGAACATATCATCACATTTAATTGAACTTGATTTCCACGAAACAAACACGCTATGGTCAGTCACTGTATCGTAAACAGTATTCTCTGCCATTCAACTGGCACTCGAGAAGTTCTAACCTAAATTTCTACAGAAACACGACAATCAATATCACTAGCAAGGCCTTCAGAATGGCCCCGTACCACGAGGGAGAAATGACGGGCAAGAGCAATCCGATTATATTTGGGATAACCGAAAAACAATCAATTACGACGGCCACAAAATGTCAGGGGGAACGTTTGCAAGGTGGGGAAAGTCTGGCACAGTGCAAGAACAGAACGTTTGGCGCGTAAAGTACAGCAAACTCACCGAAAGTGAGACTTGGGAAAGTGAAACGAACCATAGCGAGGCTCTCGGCGAAAACCGGATCTTGGCCAACGCTGGGCTACATATAAACCGCGCGAGCTCGAGACAGGCAGTGAGTGTTGTGCGCGGGACAAGCCGAAGACAGTGACCTTAAACTATACCAAGATGGAAGGGCAACAGGGCAAGAAACAGAACGATGAAGAAATCAGACAGCAGGTGCTTGCCGAAGATGCTACGAAGGATATTTCGGTGTACTTGAGTGTGGCCATTGCGACTGTAGCTGTTACGACGGCGTGTCTTGGTAAGACATTATTTCTTTATGATTAATGATGAGTTTTGTAAAGAATATTCGTTAGCAGTATTCAGGTGCATCCCGAATGATTAATCTGAAAACGAAAGATTATGTTTTTAAACGCTACCATACATTGTCAAGACGCGATTTATGTTGAAACTAAACTGTCATGTAGGTGAATTTAGGACCACCGTTAAACGGCAAACAAAGTATATATTCTGTATAATGTACTCATGACCTAAAACGACAATACTTTGAAAAGTGTTATCATGATGAAGTACTCTGAATAAGAGCTGTCTATGTGAAACATACTTTCGCATAACATTACCCGTTTCAAGGGGCTGGTAGGAATATCTGACTGCATTATTTTATTTTTAGTCCGTTTTCATAATGATTATACTTACGTTACTCCAAAGTTCCAGTGAACATTCAGCAAGGCTTTTTGACCGAACACATTTCGTTGTATAAAAATAAGCTGTCTATGTGAAACATACTTTCGCATAACATTTCCCGTATGAGAGGGCTGTAAGGAGACTATTCTCAACCTTACTTAAAGAAACAAAACCATTTATAGATTATAGTATAAAAAAACTCAACCCATTTACAAATTCGCCCTGACATAGAAAGATGTTAGACAAGAGATGGGGGCTATCACAGGCTGTCACCACGCCCTGTACCTGTCAGAAGCTGGCGTGCGTCACCTCAACTACTCCGGTGCCGACACATTCAGTGGCATTTAGTACTAAACAGTTGCATCTTTGACACGAGATATTTTGGTATTTTATGGACTTATTTTTAGCCCTTTATTACTCAATCCGAGCTATTTCGGTACATTTATGACAACCCACATAAGACCCTGCCCTCTTTTCAAATGTCAAAAAAGCGCCGAAAGGGACAAATATTTGCATATCTGACTGGGTTGTTTATATGCCGTTTTCATTATGATTATGCTTACGTTACCCCAAAGTTCGAGTGACCATTCAGCGAGGCCTCTTTGAAAGCAAGTATTTTTGCCCGTACACATTTCGTAGTATCACGTAACTCTGTCCAGGTCTACCACCAACCTACTAACTGCATTTTGTGTTGGAGATTCGGTAATAGCACCAATAATGAGATTGATAAAATTGAGAACATTTTGTCAGAGATGAATGTATTTTTGTCATTAAATTTTTGAGCCTTACTGTTTTGGAAGAATATTGTAAAGTAGTCAGCTCGACCCGCCAGTAAAGTGGACATTACGGAGTTACGAAACATGACATTTCACTCATGGTCAGATACATGTGATGGACACGACACGCCCCGCGGCTGTCGGGACACGTGTAGGCACGCCTTTACACGCCCTTGTCACATGACGCTCTGTTGCTCTTGACAACAAACATCTTGCATCCCAACGTCTTTTGTCAAAGGTCTTTAGCATCGTTTGCAGATCGTTGCCTTTGATAGTCTGATTTTTGATAAACTTATGTAAGTACTATTAAATGCCTCTCACCATCGCTAGCCATAGTCATTTAGAGCATTCTGCGAGAGGGGAGTTACTTCGGGGAAATCAATAATTCTTGCATCTGTTTTTCGAAATTGCTCTGAAACAGTCTGGTCCTTTCGGTTTATTCCTCCACCGACATCTACCTACACAGTCGAATCCAGCGAACTAGGGGCGTGTGGGGTTCTTTCCCAGATAGCATTTGGATGTTGGCCCAACGTTGGCAATGTTGCCAACGGGGTAGAAATACCTTTTTTTCTAAGTGTGCCTTAGGGCACCAGACAAATATTTTAGGTGTGCCTTTCTGAAATCGAGTATGCCCACATGTTTTTAGAATAAATGACAATGATGATGATCAATTGAAATTTATTGTTAAATAAAGAAATGGGTTTATGAGCATTCAAATATGTATGGTATTATTCAATTTGGAAAAAAATACTTGTTTTGAGGATTAAATGACTAAATGTGAGTTATGTCTCATAAAAAATTAGGCGTGTCAAGAGGGCACCGAGAACATTTTTTAGCCGTGCCATTTCTGTATTTACCGTGCCGTGGCACACTAGTATATGGGGTATTTCGAACCCTGGTTGGTAAAACCATTGCCAATGTTGGGCCAACGTCTGAATGCTATCTGGGTTGATACTTTCGGAAGAGTCATCTTCTTTTGTTCACACTCAGTAATTATGAGTTTGACTACTGAGAATTTTCTTTTTTTACTTTGTCATTTTGAAAATCAGGTATGCCAAGTTGTTCGTGCCATACTCTTGCTAACGCCCATGGACATCTTCGTGCGTGCGCACATGACATATGGCCTCGTGAAAGTAACCGATCACTATGATTGACGTTTAGTGTTCAGAGTATTGTCATTATCACACGTAGACAATACATCACGTCACCTGGTGGACCCACTTTCTCAAACTGACACCTCGGGCTGGTCGTACTATTACTCAATCTCTCAGGTTATGTGTATATGAACAAACGTACATAGTGATCTCACTCGATTGGGGCCGTGCTATGATGTACTTGAACCCTTGTCGTGGAAACAGGCTATTGTTGATGGTCAAACTGTACGTCAACTGAAGGAGATATTTGTGTGTCCATCGTACACTGAGTCCAATATATTAGTCAATACAGACATTATAGTGAATACAGCCCGGTCTCTGTGCTGAGCAACAGGCTCGCAGCCTGGTTTCCGGGGTCTGCTGCGCAACGCATCGACACTGTCGACACTGTGTCGTTCGAGCGTAGCTAAGCAGACCTCAGGAACCAGGCTGACATGCATGTTCGGTGCAATCGCATGCCATGGCTGTATTATAAAGGACGAATCTTCTATGTCGTGGAGGAAAGATAGTGCATTGCATAATACTAAAATTCCATTGGTACCGTGGTGATATGCGGTTTAATGCACTCTCCCCGTTGTCACGTTCGCTACAAATACAATATGGCCGCCATAGTATGATGTGTTTGTGCATAATGTACGTAATGTGCTTGTTTCGCGCGACGACAGGTAGGACACTTTTTTCAATGTCTTGGTGCACGAATCCGCCAACGTAAAATCTATATTTACCTTTGAGGTTGATAATTTATTTCACAAACTGAAAAATAGTTCTTCCAAATAGGTCAGTACGGTAGTGTTTGAGTGAGTTTGATTTTACGCCGCTCTAGCAATACTTGTATTTCGGCGTCAGGTGACAACTGACATGGGCGTCATTAAACTTACTCATAAAATGTTATTTCAGAAATACTGAACAAATTTTGTTTGACTCTCGTTGATAATAACAGTTCAGGAGACCAATACTGAATTCAGGTATCACCAATGGCATTGGTGGACATTTTCTGTAAATTCAATGTTCAGCATGTTTGCAGCAGTCATGTCATATTGTCATGTGTCATGTTTGTAAACCGCGGAGTCACACAATGTAACAACCGGGAACATGGGGTGCTGGGGACCTGGGCTGCCGGGTAAGAACATCAGCTGACGTCCATGAGAGACACATTCCAAATGAAACAATTGTTACGAAATTAAATTTGCTTTCAATACTCCAGACAACAACAGAAAATTCAGTTTTTATCTACATCGATCTTCTAAGGGGAGTCCATAGACGCTGCTTATTGAAAGTCAATTTGAGCTAGTGGGAGGGATGTGTTGTCTTCTAACAGTGATAAGGGACTGTTACACGTCAAGCATACTGACCTGTGAAGATCCGGGGTAGAATAGGTCTTCAGCAACCCATTCTTGTCATAAAAGGCGACTATGCTTGTCGTAAAAGGCGATTAACGGGATCGGGTGGTCAGGCTCGCTGACTTGGTTGACACATGTCATCGGTTCCCAATTTCGCAGATCGATGCTCATGCTGTTCATCACTGGATTGTCTGTTCCAGACTCGATTATTTACAGACCGCCGCCATTTTGCTGGAATATTGCTGAGTGCGGCGTAAAACTAAACTCACTCACTCACTCAAAGCCATACTACGGAGGTCAACACCAGAAACGGACTTCACGAACTGTAGCTACTTTGGGTATCGAACCCAGATCTCCGACAGGAAGAGCAAACTTTTTAACCACTAGACTACCTATCCAACGAAAAGAAACGTATCTAAAACTAGTGCGGTTAATGACAGGTAGACTCATGTGTCTTTGTACTTACAAACTGCCTGCGGGCGTCACGTGATGTCATGGCGGGCGTCACGTGATGTCATGGCGGCCATATGCTATTCTTCAAGTTTGCCTCGTCATATATTTTTCAGTCTACTGTTTCGTTGTAATACAAACCCCGCGGCGTGGTGTTGTCACCCTCAACCCATTTTGGTCCAGCACAAGACTAACATCCCAGGAACATTTGGAATAATGCCATTCAAAATATAGATACATTTTCTAGATATATTATTTAGAGTAGGGAAGCAAAGCGTTGACGTGACAAAACTCCCCAAAGGGTGTGTATTAATTTGTATCCTGTAATTGATTTATAACAATGCTCTATATGGTGATGATGATGATTATTAAGATGTCTGTGTTTCCATGTCCAGATATCTCGAGTTATTATTTCTAACCTGCATAATTCACCTTCTTGTGTCATTCTATAAATCAGCGTTGCCGTTTATGACCTGGCAATAAAGAACCTCGTGACCTTCATTTGACATTGAAGATATTACGTTGGCGTGATACATATTAATGAAGTCCACTGTTATTACAATTAACGGCTTTGCTTTGTTAAAGACGAAAGAAACGATTTTTCAAAAATGGAGTACGAGTTTGATTTGATAATTTGTCGATTTGGTTTTGACCTTGTTACTTCTGGCTTAAGTGATATTATGATGATTTACAAGTCATTGACCCTGTCTGTAAAATATTTTTGCGAAACATCGTGCGTCTGTTAGTAATTCAATGACAACTTAACATGTATAAACCTTATTCACACAGCGATTCGGCTTATTTCTGGGGTACTTCTGAACAGTTTATGACACAATAACACTTATATATACGAGTTGTCTGGGTGGTTGCTGGCACGTGACGTTTTGAGGGGAATCA